TCTTCTCTTCTCTTCTCTTCTCTTCTCTTCTCTTCTCTTCTCTTCTCTTCTTTTCTTTGGTTTTTTGAGACAGGGTTTTCCTGTAGCTTTGGCGCCTGTCCTGGAACTAGCTCTTGTAGACCAGGCTGGTCTTGAACTCACAGATATCCACCTGCCTCTGCCTCCCAAGTGCTGGGATTAAAGGCTGTGCATCACCACCTGGCTTCCACCTTTTCATTTCTACATGTAATTTAGAACATGATTTTGTCTTACTATTTTTGACTTCTTTTGCATAACCTGTGGTTCCATCCTTATTGCTGAAAATGACAGTGTTTCATTACTTTTGTTGCTGGATCATATATAACATATTTTCCATATATATATATAACGTATAAGTCATGTGTCAGTGGACACTAGGGTGGTTCCATGTCTCGGTTACTGTGAATCCCGCTCCTTAAACAGTGATTGCAGTTTCTTTGGATGTATATGCATTACAGCCTTGCTGGGTCATATGGTAATTCTGCTTCTATTTTTTCAGGAACCTCAGGGCTGCTCTTCTCTTTGCTAATTTACATTTGTATCAACAGTCTATGAGAGTTCCCCTTTCTCTCAGTCACTAGCATTTATTTTGCTGTTTTAAGAATTGCCATTCTAACTGGTGTGGGCAGGTGCCTCATTATGATTTTGATTGGCATTTCTCCGATGATTAGTAATTTTGAGTGTTTGCATATACTTGTTGACTATTTGTGTATCCTCTTGAAACATGTTATTATTAATTCATCCTTTTTAAATAGGATCTTTTGGGGTCCTTCATTGCCGAGTCCTGTGATTTCCTAGCATTTGTAAATTAACCCCTGTCAGATGAAGAGCTGGCAGCAATCACCTCCATGTTGGGCGTCCTTTCCATCTCTGCTTTCTTTGGGATACAGAAGCTTGTTTATTTTATGTTAATCAGACATCACTTTATGTATCATAAACATATGTTAAACTGTCAGTGAAGAGAAAATTCAGATTTAAAGGTGAGTGCATAGTTGGGCAGTGGTGGCCCATGCATTTAATCCCAGCACTGGCAGGCGGATCTCTGAGTTCAAGGCCAGCCTGGTCGACAAGAGCTAGTTCCAGGACAGGCGCCAAAGCTGCAGAGAAACCCTGTCTCGAAAAACAAAACAAAACAAACAAACAAACAAACAAAAAAACCAAAAAAAAAAAGAAAAGAAAAAAGGTTGTGGAAATAAAGCCAGGGAGACCTTGTAGACACTGTGCCTGTCGCAGATGCAGCACGGTGGCCCACTCCGTGACCCTTGTTCCCATTGCTGTCATAAAGTATGACCATTGTCAGCCACAGTCAGCATTTCAGATCCGCCATTTTCTGGGTATTTGTCTAGTTAGGACAGAGCTGGGCTACACCCAAGGGTTCAGCTTCGTGAGCATGAAACTGCACGTGCCAGCCTTCTGAGACCACCACGCACAGTAGTGGGTGGCACCGCAGTGAGCGTTGAAGGACAGACTTCTTCCCTAGAGTCACACCGAAGGTGTCGGCCTAGCATGGCCACTATTTCTTGTTGAAGGAAGCCACTGTGTCCTCTCCTGTTTGACACCGTTGTGTTTCCTTTTAGCAGGTGAACTCTGGCCTCACACTCAGTGACCTGCCCTTGCACATGTTGAACAACATCCTGTACCGTTTCTCAGATGGCTGGGACATTGTCACCCTGGGCCAGGTGACACCAACCCTGTACATGCTCAGTGAAGATAGGCGGCTGTGGAAGAAACTGTGTCAGTACCACTTTGCAGAGAAGCAGGTGAGTGTGCGGTGCAGTGCCCTTGAGTCATCGGCTGGTCCCGTCCAGGTCCCTGGTGCTCCAATGATCTTGGGAGAATATGTATTCCATATCCACAGATTTGATTATACTACTTACTATATAGAGAGTGTACTAGAGTATACTAAAGTTACTTCTGAATTCTCCTCTACCAATTACAAGACTCATGTACCATACTGAAAAGGAATCATGATTCTAAAAATGGCCTAGTACCGAATAATTACCTGAGCTATATCACACCTATTGGCCAAAGGTCATGGTGTTCATTTTACCTAATAAGTCATATTCTAGCTCTGCCCAGCCTGTTGTCCTGGGAGAATCAGCGGGTCCTTGTGGCTTCACACTTCCCTCTTGGTGCCTACTTGGTAGTACGGTCTCGAAGTCCTCCATGTCTTGTAACTCCCATGTTTCCCACTTGGTGGCACCATATTGAGGTTCCCTGTGTCTTGTAGCTCTAATATTTCCCATTTGGTGGCACCGTCTCAAGGTCCTCCATGTCTTGTATGGCCTGTGCTTCCCACTTGGTAGCACTGGCTAAGGTCCTCAGTGTCTTGCTAATTGACTGTCTTCTCTAGACTGACACCCCTGGGCTATTGTGTAGAACAATGCCCATTCGATACAGGGCTAGGAGCAGGCAGGCATTATGTTGTGTATCTTGTAGATTTGGACATGACTAAGATAGAGGAGCATTGTGATGTTGGGGGTAAAACTGTGCTTGTTTCATGGCAGGTCCCATCTGAAGAAGGAATCAAGAGTCTTAGCCACACTCAAGATTCCATCCAGTTAGCTTAGAAAATCCAGTGAATGATCTGGAACACATGACACCTTTTGTTGTTGTTTATTTGAGACAGGGTTTCTCTGTGTAGGTTTGGTGCCTGTCTTGGAACTAGCTCTTGTAGACCAGGCTGGCTTTGAAGTCAGAGAGATCCACCTGCCTCTGCCTCCCGAGTGCTGGCATTAAAGGAGTGCGCCACATGGCACCTTTTAAATGACCCTCTGGATCTTGCTTGAGAGAAGCATTGTGAGGGCATAAGGAGGCCATTGAAAGACTTCCTAGAGAGGAAGGTGGGGTCAAGGATATGTATGTGTCCAGCCAGGGTCCTAAGTGAGGCAGCTAGCTCCTCCCAGGGAAGGTCTGTAATGATGTTTACTTATATTTTAATAAATAAAGCTTGCCTGAAGATCAGAATGCAAAACAGCCACACTAGTCAGCCATACAGGCCAGGCAGTGGCGGCACACACCTTTAATCCCAGCAGCCACATTAGTTAGCCGTAAAGACGGGGTAGCGGTAGTACACACCTTTAATCCCAGAAATAGAGAGGAAAATAAGGCAGAATGAGACAGGAACTCTCTTTCAGTCTGAAGATTTCATAGAGTTAAGAGCTCTCTAGTGGCTTGGCTGCTTTGCTTTTCTGATCTTCAGGCAAACTTTGTTTATTAAAATACAAATGAAATATCACTACAAGGTCTGAGCAGGAGAGACCTAAACAAAGCCCTGAGTGGGGAGATGCCTACAGGGACCTCATGCAGGTCTGAGAGAGCTCAGAAGGCTCTGGGTCCTGACAGGGAGCAGTCCAGTATGGAAGACGGATGAGGATGGCAGATGGTGCATTGCCTGGGAGTTTGCAGAGGCTGCGCCTGAGGACTGCTGGGCGGGATCTTTGGGAGGGAGCGTCCACTGCACCCCTGAGTTGTCAGCCATCCTGTCTCTTGATACTCCCGTCTTTCCAGCTTTCTCAGCTGGCAACTATGATTCTGCCCTCTCCTCTTTGAAACTGGATTTGGGTTGGCATCAGAAATTCTGGAGAGGCTGAATAATCCTTTGAAGGGAAGATATAGAACCGTGGACAAATGATGGATAAAAGTATGTTTGGGATGGGCCTTGCGTGTCACACAGTTGCTGTGGAGCCTACACTGAAGGATGCCCACAGGGAGAGAGGCCAGGGCTCCTAGCAACCTGCATCCTCTGTTCAGGCTGGGCTACCAGAGCTCCTGGTAGGTGTTTATAGAAATACGTGTTTAGGATGTCTGCTGACTATTGTGAGCCCCGAGTTCCTTGACAGACGCTTTAAAGAGGTTACGGATCTGGCTGCACTAGTATTTACATTCCATAAGAAGTTAGGTTAGAATCTGTGCTTAGCACCTACGTGTACATCTTCTGGTGCATATTTCCTTGATCGAATCACAAAACTGAATCTTTAAGATGTTGTTATTAGTTCTTCATAAGTGACTAAGAATAGCATCCTGATTTCTCAGGACTAGCATAGGTCAGAGTTACCTTCAAACCAACAGTATAGGTTAGGAAGCACCTCAGCGGGAGCTGAAGGCTGTGTAGGCCTTGGACTAACAAGGCCTAACTGACATAGTGACATCAGAAGGAGCCATTGGTAAGACACCTATGCTTAACGTAAGACACCTATGCTTAACGTAAGCACTTGTGTGAATGTGAAGCCTACAGGAATGTGTGTGTTCCTCCTGTGAACACTGCGGGGCATGAACAGTGAGCCGGAAGAGAAGACAAGGCAGAGGTGTTTTGTCTCTAGAAGCTGATGTTTCTGTGGTACTTAAAGAGCTCAAAGATTGCTATGGCCAGGCCTCTAATTGGTCCCCTTTGCTTTTCAAACCATCTTCTTCTCAAATTGTAGTAGAAATAAGATCCCCTCATGGCTTCATTACCATTTCCAAGCGGAGCCCCTAAAAGGTGTGGCTGGTTACATGTTGTGTAAGTTATTATTTCCCGTTATAAAAAGCAGAACACTCAAAAACTGAAGCAAACTTAGACAAGGGCATCTTTGCATAAATGAGCAAGGACAAGGCCTATCAAGCACACAGTTCTTTATGTACATAGCACACACATAGAACTGCCCTGGCTGTGTGCTTTATTTTCTCTGACCCAAATTATATGGCTCAAATTTTTTTCTGGTAACACCTTCATTAAGATGCTATCCAGTTTATGTCACCGTCACTATGGCCCCTTTTCATACATCATTGTTGTCTCAGAAGGAGCCAGGTACCCTCAGCTGTCATCTCAGCCCCATCCCAGTCCTAAGCAAGCTGTCTCTGCCTGGGCTTCCTGTTCTGGGTGTGTGGTGTGAGCCGACTATGCAGCGGTCAGGCCCTGTGACTGCCCCCTTCCCTCAGCATAGCCCTTCAGGATGCATCTGTAGTAGGAATCAAAGCCTCATTCCTTTGGGGATCACCATATTTTGTTTACCCACTCATCTGGTCCTGGCCCTGGCTTTCCTTCCACCTTGTGGCGAGTAGGATTGTTGCTGTGGAATCCATTGCTGAGTTTGTGTGTAGACGTGTTTTTCATTTCTCTAAACTAATTTCTGAGTAGTGGGATCACAGTTCTGTTGCTCTGTAGTCCTTGGGGAGGCTGCACTCTTTCTCACCCATTTTACGTTCCCACCAGAAGTTCACCAGGCCTCTGATTGCCTGCACCCTCCCCAGGTGCTACCTCAGGTGATTGGCATCTCGTCATAAGAACATTGACCATTTGTGTGTCTTGGCAGTGGAAGTGCTTTTTCAAGCCCATAATCCATACTCAAGTTAAGTTGGTGGTGTTCTTTATTTATCCTGCATGCAAGACTCTTAGCAAATATATGACATCTACAACTATCCCAGACCTCATTCCAGAGCTGCTGTCCGTCTGTCTCTGTGTGGGAACACCATGATTTGCTTGACTTGTTCCTCACTGATTTAATCCAAGTGAGTTTAATATCAGATCATAAAATATTTCATGTATTGCTCTGCTATATATATATACATATACATATGTATATACACACACATATATATATATACATACTTAATGCTTGTTTTCGAAATCATCTGATATTCTGAGCAGAGTTTTCTGTTTCAGTTTTGTAGACACTTGATCCTTTCAGAGAAAGGTCACATCGAGTGGAAGTTGATGTACTTCACCCTGCAGAAGTACTACCCCACTAAAGAGCAGTATGGAGACACTCTCCATTTCTGTCGCCACTGCAGCATTCTCTTCTGGAAGGTAAGGGTTCCACATGTGCTCTGGGGACGCGAGGGCTGGAGTGCAGGAGGCAAACTGTTCGTCTGTGTCTTAAACAGAAAGATGAGGAAAGAATGGGAAGTGATGTTCGTGATGGGAGCATTAGGAATGCATCCCTCTAGTCCCGGGGAGGGGTTGGGGCATCCATAGGAGCGCATGCTTGTGCTGTGACCCCATCACTGTTAAAAGGTTCTGAAAGGGGCATGCTTGTCCTTGCTGCTGATGGAGGTCTAGGAGGTCCGATGGAGCAGACAAGGCTCCTGAGTATCCCGTCCTGTCTGGGGCTTTGCTCTCACCTTCAGCTTGAGGAACCTGCACTTGTCTACCTGAGAGGCAGGCCCACTCTGCAGGGGGTCAGGGCCAGCCTCCTGCCTCTTCCTGCAAAGCTGAGTTCTTAGGTTAAGCAGTGTGGGCACAGAAAGCACAGGCTTCAAACAAAATGTGCAAACCTAAGACTGTGATTTTTACACACAAGACTGAGCCTTTAGTGAGAAACTCAGATAGCCAAACAGTAGATCAGGAGCCCTTCCTCCAGTCTCACTGCCTGTTTTGGGATCTCCCTGCCCATCTTGTCTTTGGTCACAGTAGCATGTTTTTCTCAGCCACAGGAGGGCCATGTGTGTCACTTTTTCCCTCTGGTAGCTACCGAAATGTTCCTAGAGATTTTGCTTCATACCTATCTAAATTTGTTAGCAAATAGGATACAAGGCAAGCTCCAAATTGTTGACAGATTTTTAATTTTTTTTTCTGTTCAAACTCCATTTATAACTGCATAGCTTTTTATTGTGATGGTTCAGAGCTAAGCAGAGGGGTAAAGATGCTGAGGTCACTGTGGATTGTCTGACAGGCATTGAGCAGTAGTTGTTGGCGTCCCCAGTAGGACAGCTAAGGAGGCTGTTCCCCCCTTCTCCCCAACTTTGTTCCCCTCTCTCTCAGGAGTAACAAATGCCAGTTGTGTGATTGTCTCCGCAGCAGGCAGTCTCCTCTCTAGAAGACTTTCTCTTGAGAACAGGGTTCTTGTTCAGTTTGTCCTCAGTTCCTTGGTGAGTTTATGCATACAGACAGCCAGCCTCTAGTGTCCCTCTTCCCCACACATGCCAAGTCCAGTAGGATCCTGTCTATAGCATATCTGTATCTCTGTTGTTCTGAGAAGGTGAGGACAGTCTGTGTCAGTCAGAGCGGGTGAGGCTGGTAATGTTCTGTGAGTTAATACATCGCTTAGAAACTGGCTTCTCATGTCCTCCCGAGAGTATTTATATTATAGAGATATTAAATGTGTGGATACTTGCTGAGGGAAGGTACTGATCATGGGATTGAAGACTTTTGCATGAGATAGTTGGTGTTTTTCTTGGCCTAGTATCTAAGAATATTTGGCACTAAAGAAAACAGCACAAAGAACATTTGCTCTCTGTGTACCATCTCTGTTGTTGGGCAGTGTGAGAATGCGCTGCTCAGCTTCCCTGGAATGTCTAAGTTCTGGTTATTTTTACCTGAAAGATGACTTAGTTTTCCAAAGAATTGGCCTCTCCTGCCATAGTGATCTTGCTATGAAAAGTCAGAACAGGCCATTAAAGGGCAGACCCCTGCTGGTCTTTGCCGTTCTGAGAGACAACTTGGTGGAGGGTGGCTCCAGCCCAGCAGGATGTCTGAGACTTCAGGAAGTCATTCATATTAGCACAGCTTCCCCACCTGCCGTTCTTCCAGAGCCTGCTGCGTGGAGGGTCTGTTTCCCAGCGTGTTCAGTGAAAATGTCAGGAGGACCTCCTTTCCTAAACCCTGAGGATGCCACTCCAGAACAGCATCCTCCTGGGGAGGGCATGGGTGTGCAGTCAGGGAGGCCCAGCTGACCAGCGTGCTGCAGGTGTGGCAGAGTGTGTCTTGACCGATAGAAATGTGTTGTGCCCGATGTTAGTGGTGTCTGCCTCGGCTTCCTGGGAAACACTGCCGACTGGGACACTATGGGAGCCTTAGGTTCACTGGGAGTGTGAAGAGGGATGGGTCGTCCTCACCTGAGCTGTGTGTTCCACAGTGGGGATCCTGTGCCTCCTCCCTAGCTGGTTTTCCATCTGTTCTAGTTCACTACACTGAAGGGATTCTTGTTAATTATTCCAGGTACTGCTCAAGACCCAGGCGGTTGTTTCCAGCCTGGTTGTCAGTACCCCGAGAAGGCCATTCAGTGTGCGTGCTACGTGGTTTCCCTACTGGGAAGCCTGTCAGAAACTGTGTGTCCAGAGAGAGGGCTGGGGGCCAGGCTGGGGACTTGGCTTTTCTCTGCTCCCTTTTTGTCTCGGTATTTCAGGAGCCAAGAGAGGGCTGGACACCTAACAGTGACCCTGAGTCCTCTGAAGGCAGCAGAAGCAAGATGACCAGAACTAGTGTTGAGGCAGAGTTCCCAGACCCTCTCTATTGGCCGTCTTTGTGAACTGCCCCCCCCCCCCCGTGAGCAGAGCTAAAAGGCCACCGCGCTCCTGAGCAGGGCAGCGGACCGTCCAGTTAGCTAGCTCAGGGCTGCTGGCCACATAAGCTCCAGCCGACCTTGTGGACTGTCAGAGATGGGGTGTCAGAGGCAGGTGGGGTGCCTTGCAGTGGCTCAGTTGGCTCCATAGTTACTCACAGAGCAGACCCCAGAACAATAAAAAAAGATGAGGGGCCTTCCCCCAGAATCTTATATTTTTCATGGAAATATGAGACTGCTTTATGCATTTTTTTTTAAAAGAATAGTATGGCCTTCCAGATTGTCAGTTTGGAAAACTTAAAGGGAAATGGAATGGTTTCTCTTACCTTAGGCTTCTCTCTCTCTCTCTCTCTTTCTCTCTCTCTCTCTCCTTATTTTTTGAAACATATTTTTCACTATGTGGCCCTGGCCAGCCTGAAACTCTTCCTCTAGACCTCTAACTCGCAAAAAGGTCGGGCTGCCTCTGTTCCCCAAGAGCTGGGGTTAAATGCACTGGCCGCCCTGCCTGGCTTTGCCCTAGGTTGTCTCACTTGTATAAATGTGATGCTGTCTTTTCAGACTGTTTACTATTGATCAGATTTACTCACAAGTGTCTCGGTTATTTTCACAACATATGCTTCAAACCTGAATGCCCGGTGACACCTTGCTCCGTCTAACCCTGACTCTCCTTTTCCTCCCTCTGCTGCTCCCTTGCTGGCTCTTCACGGTGTCCAGGACTACCACCTTGCTTGGTTGTTGAAGGTACTTCCTGTGGCAGTGTGCTGGTCCATCTGTGTACTGTCCTTGCCCTGTCGGGTGGCAGCTTTGAAGGTTCAGCTCTCGCTAACCACAGTTAGACTTATGTCAGAAAGCTGACTGACAAACCATCCTGCACCTCAGCGTGGTCTGATGGTGCCAGTTTTCTGCACATCTTAAATTTCTCTCATTGCTTCTACTAAATAATTGTACCAACTCTGCACCACTACCCGTGGGACAGTGCTTGTGGCGTCCCATCCTTTGTGTGGGGAGACTACTCACCCATCCCAGAAGTCTGCAAAGGGAAGAAGGAACTGGGAGGCAGGATGTGGAGGGGTGGGCAGGGGGAGGCAGAGGTCTGCAGCTTCCACGTCTTACAGGGTGACCACAGAGATGAAGCATTGCCGCCTGTTGTTAGTCTTCCCCTGGGGTCACCCAGGTACTGATTCCTGGCTAAGTCATTTGTATAGCGTTGAGAGGGACTGGGATCCACTTAACAAAATTCAGGTGCTAGTTCTGTGAAAGTGTAATGATGTGTCCTGACCCGCCTCCTCTTCCTCTCCTCAGGACTCGGGACACCCCTGCACCGCGGCTGACCCCGACAGCTGCTTTACGCCCGTGTCCCCTCAGCACTTCATTGACCTCTTCAAGTTTTAATGGTGCCCTCAGCCCTGGACCCTTGTCCACAGTTGTCCCTTGTGCTTTCTGTGTGTCTTGTTGGTGTAGGTGTTCTGTGACACGGGCGATGACAGGGTCTGTGGCTGGCCGTGCCAGTGCGAGGACCCGGAAGACGCTCTGGCGGTCCTGCAGCACTGGCGAGAGCGGAGACCACAAAGCCATTTGTACTTCTTTCTTCCAAGCAAATGCAGTTTGCAGTTTTGTATATTTTTAAATATGGATCAGAACTGACACGAACAACGGGGTCATGTTTCTTAGTTGTCTGCTGAGTTTTCCATCGTCTCGTAATTGGGATGAAGGGCAAAACAGTTGAACCTTGTAAATACGTTATGCAGAATATTTATTTTTCTTAAAATGTATTTTCACAACCTCTGTGGCTGTGCCCAAATGATTCCTCATTGAACGCAAGATAAGCCGAGGAACTTGCTTGGCATGCTGTCTCACTACAGTGGGTAGGGCTGGGAACCCTATGCTGTCCATGGCTAGCACCGGTCTTTGTGTTCCTGGGAACCCCTGCCTTGTGGCCATCATACATCCATACATGGGATGTGGGCTCCAAATCAGAACAGGGCCTCTGCCAAGGAGCTGGAAACAGCCTAGGGAGGCCTGAACTTGACATGTAGATATTACTTTCACGAGTAAAGTAATAAACCATGTTTATCTACTGATTCAGCTTCATCAAATTTACATCTAACTGAATGGTGTTGTCTCTAAAATATTGCTGTTTTGTTTTAAAAATAATGCATGTGCACTTTAAAAATTTTTGAAAATAAAGGTATATGAAAGAAAACGAAATAGTTTCTCCCCAGAAGATAACTGTGCTTGATGAAAGGGATGTGCAGTGTTGCCCCCAGCAGTGGTGGCCGCAGTGCATTGCTGTGCACTTTCGTCTCCAATTGAGTCGGGAGCCCCAAGCACTTTCCAAGGACATGAAAATTCATAACTGCATTTTTATAGATATGGATCGAAAATTTCCCTTTCTAGCCTCATACTGTCCCCAGCTGACAGCGCAGCCCAGAACAGCGTCTGTAGTTGCCAACCTAGTTGCTTTGACACCCAGCTGTCTCATGCACACTGAAGTCAGCATGTTTTAAAACCGTAAACATCCTGCCTGCCATTCATAACCAGAGAATCCAGTACTGTCTGAGAACCTGGCTTCTATCAATTTCACAGACCCACGTGGATGGAGCAGCGCTCACACAGCAGGTGGGCACGACCGATTTTTCTGTAAGCAGCATCCTCAGAATGCACCTTCTGCATAGTTTTTGGATGTGTTTCTTGTGGCCCTCTCTGTTTTCTTTGAGGACTATTTTTTATATATTTCTTTTTGAGACAGGATTTTTGTGTCTGTGTAACAGGCCATGCTATCCTGGAACCCACAGAAATCCTGTCTTTGGCACCTGTCTTTGCCTTCCAAGTGCTGGGACTAAAGGTATGCGCCCCTACTGCCCGGCTCTATATCAGTTTCTTGACAAGGATTACAAGTTACTTCTCCTGTAACTGGGGCTGTGTGCATGACAGATGACGTGAGGGAAGGAAGGCTGGCTTTGGGTCACAGTTCTCGTCCCCCTGAAGCCAGGCACTGCAGTCACCTCACAGCCAGGGAAAGAGCAGTGCCCATGGTCTCTTGATATCTCTGTAGAAACATCCGTTCTCCGAGCGTTCCATCTGCGTCCCTTGATCCCATTCCCCGTCCTCCTCCAGGTCCACCCCCAACTCCCCACACCACCCCAACTTTGTGTACTCTTTTTCTTTTTTCAGTCACCCATCAACTCTTCATTTGTGCTTCTCCTGTACCCAGGGGTGGGCTGTTCACTGGAGCTCTGTCAACCTCCCAGGAGCTGCAGCCTTAAAGAAAACTGACTCCCCCCAAGCCATGCCCTGTCCATAATTCCTCAGATAGGGGTGGAGGCCCAGGAACCCCTTCCCACTGCATGCTGGGATGGTGAGGTCCTTGATCTTGTGGAAGAGCACAGCGGCTGGGTTCATGAGTACAGGGGTTCTCTTCTGCCCTGTTCAGACGCCCTTGGTGCCAGGTCTCCCCAGCCTCTGTCCTTTCTGCCTCTGCTGTGACGGTTGTGAAACAGGTTCCACCTGTGGCTGAGCTCTCCACAGACACTTGTTCTCTATGTTTTGACCAGTTGTGTGTTCCTGTTTTTCACCTACCTCCTTTAGTAAATATTACACCAGCATTTAAACAGTATCAGTGTTAAAAATATCCACATTAATATAAAGTGTGCCTATTTAAAACCAAAGAAGCATTTATTTCATTAGCATAATTTTCATATAATGTTCTTGCTTATTAGTACTAAATTTTTTAGCTGTTGAACTCACAGGCCACACACAAGGATTTGGATTGTATATTTTATTCAGTATCATTATAAATATCTACAAAATTGATTTTAAATTAAGTTGCCTTTGTACATAAGCACATAGATGGTCAGATTTGGATGTAACATGCATCTACCCTGTGTTTAAAAACATTATATAATCCCACCACATTGGGAAACTTTAGTATAATTTATGCAAAGATTGAAATAAACCAAATACACTTTTCAGTTTAGCGATACACAACCTATAGTGAGAAAATACAGATCTCTGGTGTTTTAATGACGGCCCTCATAGGCTCACATATTGGAACATTTGTCCCCAGTTAGTGGAACTGTTTGGGAAGGATCAGGAGGTATTAGAGTGGATGTGGCCTTCTCAGAGGAGCTAAGAGGTGCGCTTTGAGGTTTCACAAGCCTCTGCCAGGGCTGTTCTCATTGACTCTGCCTGTAACTTGTGGTCAGATGAGCGCTCTCACTGCTCCAGGGATATACCTGCCTGCCTGCTGCCATGCTCCCTGCCAGGATAATCATGGACTAACCCTCTGAGACTGTAGGCAAGCCCCCAGTTAAACGCTTCCTTTTGTAAGTTGCCTTGGTCATGGTCTCTCTTCACAGCAAAAGAATGAGATAAGATTTATCAAAAAACAGGTTTGGGGCAAAATAAATATAAACTTTTATATTCTTTAATAATAAGAGTTTTGAGTTTCATGTATGTTTTGATTGTATTCATTCCCCGACTCTTCCTACCCACCCCCTCCCTGTCCTTGTTTGGACTCCAACAGCTATTGAAGTCCACGGTGCCACTATTGTAAGTTGCCTAACACAGCATTTACATAGTAGGACTATCCAGCAGCTGTGGCTGATAGAGAATCCTCGGGGAGTGTGCAGGTGGGACTATCCAGCAGCTGTGGCTGATAGAGAATCCTCGGGGAGTGTGCAGGTGGGACTATCCAGCAGCTGTGGCTG